TATTCAGGTCAGTATTCAGGTCAGTATTCAGGTCAGTATTCAGGTCAGTATTCAAGTCAGTGTTCAGTTCAGTATTCAGGTCAGTATTCAGGTCAGTATTCAGGTCAGTATTCAGGTCAGTATACAGGTCAGTATTCAGGTCAGTATTCAGGTCAGTATTCAAGAAACTTAACATTAAATCAAGTTAACAACAAGGAAATAAATAATTGTCGATAATGAACCAATAATGTATTATGAATAACCCTGCACTTTATTTTTGTAATTGTAATTGTTATCTAACAATATAAATAAGACTGATAATTGCTCTGGCATCAGTTCCATCAGAAGACCCAATCTATACACAATGGTGACCTAACCCTAGGATTGACCCTGCTCCATCCTGGCTGCTCTGCAGTCTGGTTCAATTCTTCTCTCATAGAGTAATAAAACGAAGAGGTAAAGCTTAGCTCAGATGTACACAACCAACCTCCCTTTTAATTAATTAATAGATAGGTCGATTGTATACATCACAACATGTTTATGTATCTAACACTGTACACTTGTTTATAAAGTGATCATATTTCTAAGGGGGATTTTATGGAATTGACCAATTTCTAGATTTTCTTTCTTTTTTCAAATCCATATTAAGTGATTATCTGATTATCAATACTAATATTCAAATATCTACATAAAACCACCCCTTAGCAATACGATCACTCTATATACAAGTGTACAGTGTTAGATACCTAAACATGTCGTGATGTATACAATCGACCGCTCTATTAGTTAATTAATAGGGAGATTGGTTGTTTACATCTGAGCTAAGCTTCACCTCTTCGTTTTATTACTCAATGTCTTCTCTTCCCTGCTATCTTCATCTCTTTGGACTCAAATAAACTACTACAACTTATGATATTCCTTCTGAAAACTTTAGAATAGTGGATATCGAGAATAATGCTTGATCCTCTCTTTTTCTTAATATCGAGACTAACCTAATCTTTTACTTATATCCAAGAAAGAACGGTTTAAGGAGAAAATCAAAAGTGTGTCAATTACTCAGATTTTCTCCTACGTCAACTCACATTTACTGTAAATGAAGAAGATAGTAATTTGTTGCATTTCCTATAATTATTATATTCTCCAGTGACATCATAGTTTTCATGTTATACTTGACAGCAGCCCTCTCATTAAAGGCATTATGTATACTGTCTAACTCAATGGAAATTTAAGTATAATCTTATTTACCTTTCTTGAATCAAAAATTAAAATAATCAAATTTAACCGGAAATATGTAGTAATAACATTTTCTTCATCAAACATAATGAAATTTAACCAAAAATAAATAGAACTAACATCTTCTTAATCAACTCTAATCAAATTTAACTAAATTTAAACAACCAACTTCTTAAGTATTTCTTGGAAAGTTTTGTGTTTTTTAAAAATCTTACCTTTGAGCTGAATTGAGATCAATTTTATTAATCTCAAGATTAATTTAATCTTTAGTTTGAATCCAGAAAAGTGTATAAAACTCAAACAATCAGAGTGGCGTATGCGGAATTCTGAATAGCCAATCCGAAGCCGGAACTCTTATTGGTCAGAATCCGGGGTGTGATATTCAAAAAGTGAAGAAAAGAGCGGATGAAGCAGAAATGAAAATTGTCAATCATGGATATTCAGATTGAGCGATCGGTCTCTACAGTTTTTAGCTCTGGTTACATTTCCTTTATTCTTACCTTCGATATAGTCTAGTTTATGTTCTGCTGGAGCGCATTTAAAGCATCTTTTTAACTAGCATGTATACATTGTACACAATGAACACTGGTCACATTTTTTCTATGTACATTTTTACTTTATTCACTAATCATAAAAATCCACCAATTTAAAGAGAAAAATCTGCAAACAATAACGTAGAAAAATTGCCACTTAAAGAGCAACATGTAAATGCTAAATTTTTTAATACAAATTTCTTTATTCAGTGAAAAAAGTTGTTTGTTTACATCATTGGTAAGCCATCTTTATAGTGTCAATTTTCAACAAAAAATTTTACTTTTTTTTTGGTACATTTTCCTCTCGATTACACTATCTGTAGTGAACATGCATGATGCAGATTGATATACAATACTGTAATAAAAAGAAAATGGGTAACCCTGAAAAGTGTGAAAACTAAATCTTTTTTTAATATGTTATCATTAATTATTGACGCTATGCTGGAGAATAAATTAAACTTTAGATAGTGCTGATACTATATCCTGGATTAATCTCCAGTACTAACACTATATCCTGGAGCTGGGATTAATTTCCAGTACTAATACTATAACCGAGAATACTATATCCTGGGGCTAGGATTAATCTCCAGAACTAAAACTATATCCTGGAGCTAGGATTAATCTCCAGTACTTATACTATATCCTGGACCTAGGATTAATCTCCAGTACTAATACTATATCCTGGAGCTAGGATTAATCTCTAGTACTAATACTATATCCTGGAGCTAGGATTAATTTCCAGCACTAATACTATATCCTGGAGCTAGGATTAATCTCAAGTACTAATACTATATTCTGGAGCTAGGATTAATCTCCAGTACTTATACTATATACTGGAGCTAGGATTAATCTCCAGTACTAATACTATATCAGCTGGATCCAGGATTAATCTCCAGTACTATTTCTATATCCTGGAGCTACGATTAATCTCCAGTACTAATACTATATCAGCTGGATCCAGGATTAATCTCCAGTACTAATAATATATCAGCTGGATCCAGGACCTAACCTAACCTAGGATTAATCTCCAGTACTAATACTACATCCTGGAGCTAGGATTAATCTCTAGTACTAATACTACATCCTGGAGCTAGGATTAATCTCCAGTACTAAAACTATATCCTGGAGCTAGGATTAATCTCCAGTACTTATACTATATCCTGGAGCTAGGATTAATCTCTAGTACTAATACTATATCCTGGAGCTAGGATTAATTTCCAGCACTAATACTATATCCTGGAGCTAGGATTAATCTCAAGTACTAATACTATATTCTGGAGCTAGGATCAATCTCCAGTACCTATACTATATACTGGAGCTAGGATTAATCTCCAGTACTAATACTATATCAGCTGGATCCAGGATTAATCTCCAGTACTAATTCTATATCCTGGAGCTACGATTAATCTCCAGTACTAATACTATATCAGCTGGATCCAGGATTAATCTCCAGTACTAATAATATATCAGCTGGATCCAGGACCTAACCTAACCTAGGATTAATCTCCAGTACTAATACTACATACTGGAGCTAGGATAAATCTCCAGTACTAATTCTATATCATGGAGCTAGGATTAATCTCCAATACTAATACTATATCCTAGAGCTAGGATTAATCTCCAGTACTAGCACAATATCCTGGAGCTAGGATTAATCTCCAATACTAATACTATATCCTAGAGCTAGGATTAATCTCCAGTACTAGCACAATATCCTGGAGCTAGGATTAATCTCCAGTACTAATACTATATTCTAGAGCTAGGATTAATCTCCAGTACTAGCACAATATCCTGGAGCTAGGATTAATCTCCAGTACTAATACTATATCCTGGAGCTAGGATTAATCTCCAGTACTAGCACAATATCCTGGATCCAGGATTAATATCCTGACACAGATATTGAAGAACTGAAAACTAAGTCGCTCCGACTCTCAGGCCTCGTGCCGTCCTCTTCCTATTTCAAGCCAGAGGATAGAGGACACTCAGGCCATTCCAGTACATATACTATTATACCAGTATACTGATATGCCAGTATACCAGTATACTAGTATACTGGTATACCAGTATACTGGTACTGGTATAATAGTATACAGGTATATCAGTATATCAGTATACTAGTATACTGGTATACCAGTATACTAGTATACTGATATACCAGTATACTGATATACCAGTATACTAGTATACAGGTATATCAGTATATTAGTATACTGGTATACTGGTTTATCAGTATACTGGTATATCAGTATACTAGTATACTGGTATTATACTGATACACCCGTATACTAGTATACTGGTATACTGATATACCAGTAGTATAATAATATACAAGCAAGAGGATAGAGGATACTCCAGACAGTACATATACTGATATACACATATAGTGATTCACTAGTATACTGGTATACCAGTATACTATGTAGGATACTATTATACTGGTATATCAGTAAATACTAGTATACTGATATACCAGTTACTAGTACACTGATATACCTGTATACTAGTATACTATGTAGGATACTAGTATACTGGAATACTGGTAACTGGTATACTGGTATACTGATAACCAGTATACTGGTATACCAGTTTACTGGTATACCAGTTTACTTGTAACCATTATACTGGTATACTGATATACCAGTATACTAGTATACTATGTAGGATACTTGTATACTGGGGTGCTATGGAAACGCCTCAACACGGAAACATGAAAATGCCTAAAAAAAATGCAGAAACCCCTCAATAACCTGGTTTTTTGAGGCGTTTCCGCAATTTTTGTAAGAAAAACGGAAATCCCTCAAAACCCAGTTTTTGTGGAGTTTCCTCTTTATTTTGAGGCGTTTCCTAAAATTTATGAGGAATTTTTGCTTTTCACCTGACAATTATTTTTGAGGAATTTCCCAATATTTTTGAGGGATTTCGCAATATTTTTGAGGCGTTTCCGCAAAATATTTGAGGTGTTTCCGTATTTTTAAAAACTTGATTTAGTTGAGGTGTTTCCTCTTTTTTTAGAGGCGTTTCCGTTTTTTTGAGGCGTTTCCTTTTTTGAAAAAACTGTTTAAACTTTATTTTGTTGAGACGTTTCCGATTTTTTAGAGGCATTTCCGTTTTTTGAAAAAACTTTTAAAACTTTATTTTGTTGAAACGTTTCCTCTTTTTCTTGAGGCATTTCTGTTTTTGAAAAAAAGTTTTTAAACTTTATTAGTTGAGGCGTTTCCTCTTTTTCCGTTTTTAAAAAAAACTTAGTTCCTTTCTTTCCTTTCCAAAATCCTCCCAGAAATTAAACACCATAAGGTTTCAAAGAAATAGGGATTAGAAAAAATGATAAAATCAATTTTTAGGGTTTTAAGGGTTTTGATTGCTGAATTTTTGGGTAAAAACTAAAAATAATTAAAAAGTCGGAACATGACCAGTCCCCCTAGGTCGTGTTTGGTCAGGTTAGGTCCGGTTAGGTCGAGTTACCTAACTGGTCTCATTTTAAGTAGATATCTGGAATGGGTAAAATCTTGGCCATGTTCTAGCTCATCTCCAGTCTATAAGAGTCACGGCCACATGTTACTCAGACAGAAAAACGATGATATCTCAATGTACTGTTAATTATTTACAGAAGGATCGCTTTTATTTAATTTGGAGACACATGCGTACAGCTTTTTATTGGACAATGTCATCATGTTTAAATCAATTTTAATATTTGACCGTTCATTTATCGATTAAAACGATACTCTTAAAACTTTAATGAATTAAATATCCTGGGTTTTCAATATGCATTTTTTGTAAAGGTGGCTTGATGCACAACAGCCGAGACAATGCAAGGTGGGGTTGGGTGTTGGATTATTATCTTTGTTTACTTTTCATCTTCTTTTTTGCACAAAGTTTTTTATACAAACGCTGCATTTAACATGTCAAGAAGAATTTCTTCACATTGCACTGGTAAACATAAATCTATTGATAATCAATAATTCAATAATTCAGCCTTTCAACTGTTAAACCAGTTCTAAAATCTCGAATATACATTTCATGAAGACGACATTTCTGTACGAATTAGCAACTATTTAAATAGTTAAGCTTAAACGTCTAATTTACGATTAAGTTTTAAAATCTTTTACAGTCAATAGCCAAAATGAATCTTACAGACACCCGTGAAAATCAAGGAGAAATTGATGACCTTCTTTTAAAAACAACTTTAAGCACCGATCAACAAGGAACGCAAGCGAATATTGCGGATAAAATAGCAGATAAATCTAAACTTTTAAAAACGCAAAACATTGATAGAGTTACAGAATTTAAATTTGGCGTAAAAATGTTTAGCCTTGAATCCGTTTTGGAAGATTTAAATAAATTTAACTTTAAACTGAATGAGTTTATTGAGTCCTTTGGGACTAGCAACATAATTTATATTTCTTTAGTATGGGAAGAAGGAAGTATAGAATATAAGAGAGATAATTTAAATACTAAATATGTAAAAATATCGGATAATAGTACAGCAAGGCAGGGTTATACTATCTCTAATGCGTTTTCTTATGGGATTCAAGCTCAAATCCAAAAAATTCTCTCATATTTGGATAGTGAAAAAAAGATAATAAACTGGGAGACTGTTATGCTCAAGCTAAAGGCTCTTGCAAAAAGTTCAGGTTATACGGAAAATGATATACAAAAAAAGGCATCAATAAGCTGAAATTCAAACTAGAAAATGAAGCGCAAAAAAGAAGATAAAATTCTCTATTTTTAGATGAAGATTCAGATCTCGAAGGGCTCGTGAAGAAACCCCGGAAACCATCATTGGTAATTCAAATAATTCAATTCTCTTTTTGATATTTTTAATTCACCAAACTGGCAAAGAAAGTAACTTTTATATGAATTTAAAATGTTCAAAAAGATGATTTAAAAAACTTAAAATATTCTTTATCTTAGTTTTATATCTATTTATTCAAAATAAGAAAAACCATTAGAACAATTTTATTAGGATATTCCGGAGATTCTGGATCAAGTTCGAGAAACAAGTGCTCAAGAGGATGAAGCTGAGAACTGGAACGAATTCCAGGAGATTCAACGTAAAAAAAAACAAAGAGAGAAGGACCTGAAAGACAAGGAGATTAAAGAGAAGGAAGCTCGTCTTTGGGAGT